GTCTCGGAAAGATCAAGAGACATGGAGCTGAGATGGAAGGAAAGACCACTGAAAGGTATGCCGTTGTTTTGCATTGTATGTATTACTTCACTGAAGGAGAGGTGAAAAGATGAGGCTTTCTCTGTACTCATATTTTTAATGCAGTCCAGGAGTAGAGAAATACTACTGTAACTTTTCCTTTTCTTATACTCATCTTACTCAGCTCTGTTTTTCTTGAGTAAATGTGAACTGTTTGCCAGCAAATAGTTGCCTCTTTTTGAATCTCAGCATTTATTTGGGCGTAGGAAAGGTTTTTACTTGACTGAAGTATTTCTTTGTAATTTCACAGAAAAAAATTTTTTTTCCCGAAAATTTTTAGGGCAAATCCTGAGGATGTATCAAAATGTACTGTTGAGTGTACATTGTAGACTCTAAGATGCCATTCTGCCTTTAGAATGAAACATTGAAAGAAGGAGTATCTCTTTTTTTGTTTTAGGGTCGGAGATATTTTATGTTAGCATTTAATATTAATACACAGAGTATTAGGATATTGATTGCCTGAAATTTTATTTTATTTTTTATTTTTATTTTTATTTATTTATTTTAAGATTTTATTTATTTATTTGACAGAGAGAGACACGCGAGAGAGGGAACACAAGCAGGGGGAGTGGGAGAGGGAGAAGCAGGCTTCCCGCAGAGCAGGGAGCCCGATGCGGGGCTCGATCCCAGGACCCCGGGATCATGACCTGAGCCGAAGGCAGACGCTTAACGACTGAGCCACCCAGGTGCCCCTGCCTGAAATTTTAAAGTATGACTTACTAAATTACTTTATGTTAAAACTGTGTTTGTCTCAAATTTGATTTCGAAGCTAATAGTCTTCTAGGGAAAATTGAATTGTGATTACCTCTAGCTCATAATACTTAGATTACACACTGTTTGCCTTTCCATTCCACTTTCATCAACTGCATATCAAAGACAAAAAAAATGTTAGGTATCATTCCGCCACACAAAAATCAGAGGCATTCCCATTTGTAGGTTGCTTACATGGCAGTTCACATTTCCTAGCAGAAAATATGTCCATTTCTCATACATGTGTACATCATTCTACAGAGAAAGAAGTCTTCAGTTATCTTCCAGACAGTCCTTTGTCTTTTTTTTTTTTTTAAGATTTTATTTATTTGTCAGAGAGAGAGAGCACAAGCGGGGGGAGCGGCAGGCAGAGGGAGAAGCAGGCTCCCCTCTGAGCAAGGAGCCCAATGTGGAACTCGATTCTAGCGCCCTGGGATCTGACCTGAGCCGAAGGCAGATGCTTAACTGACTAAGTCACCCAGGTGCCCCCCTTTGTCTTTTTTTAGGAGAGATGAAGCTTTCATGACAGGTGGGATGACGGATTATTTTTGTTAAAGGAGAGTTTGAATCAAGAAGTGAGCTCCAGTCTCTTCTGACTTCTTTGGTTGCCAACTCCCTGGCCAGGTGTATCAAGGAAGGGCATGTGTGAGAGAGAGCAGGGGTTTGGGGAACGCCGGTGAGGGCGTGTACATCTCTGCATGCATGCACACAAACAGAGGATGAACAGTAACTTTCCTTGACAGTATGTTTATGGTCATCATAAGGCAGAAATGAGGGTGGAAATGAGAGTGTACCTTGATGCCTATTTGTATGTCTTTCTTGTATCTACAGTTTCCACATGAGTCCTGGTAGCTCACATGCTCAGCCTTTATGGTAGTACTTACAGTTAATGCAGAAAGTGCTCATATCCTTGTCCTGACCTTTTCATTTCCATACAGGCTTAATTTTTTGCTTTTTTTTCCATTGAAAATGGAGAGTGGAGGATGATGGTAATCGGGGCTTGAGAATTTGCTAGGGGATTTTGCTGCCTGTGGAATCACTGGTGAATCCTGGAGTTCAGCTACCATCCCTGTTGCACTTGAATGTTTTTCTTAGTCAAAGCATCTACCAAAAAGTATGCTGTTTCAGAATCCAAGTTGGAGGAATCCATGAGAAGTACGTCCGTTCCCAGGACTGTTGGGTTTTGCCCTTTCCCCTTCAACTCACTTCACACTTTTTAAAATAAACAGTAGATTCAATTCCATAGAAACTCCATCTATATGTGTATAAGGAATGGACTCTATTTTAGGCATTAACCTTTTTTTTTTTTTTTTTGTCATTTGGAAACAAGAATTAGTTTTATTCACGGTCTCTGTTGTCAGCATGCATAAAAAGTGGATCCTACTTGTGCTCTAGGAACTGCTTCCATTTTAATTTAAATAATGTGCCTTTGTAATTTTTTTTAAAGGTAGTGTCTTCCCCAGCAGATGTAGCTGAAAAAGCTGACAGAATTATTACAATGTTGCCCACCAGTATCAATGCAATAGAAGCTTATTCTGGAGCGAATGGAATTCTAAAGTATGTATTTCTCAACCATGGAAATTTTCTTGTTATGATAGTCCATGAATTTCACATTTGTTAACACTTTAGGAAATTACAATTATGTTTGTTAAACCTTTCTATACTGTTTTCTTAAAAGTGAATGATGTGGTTTCTCTCTCATTGTAAAGGGTTTATTTTTTCACTGAAAGCAAGTATGTGACTTTTGGGAATAATTTTTTTTGTTTCTGTTTCTTTCCTTAACTCTTGCATTAACCTTATGCTTTCATCACTAACATGTTTAAGAGACTTTTAAAGCTTGCATTTTAAACTGTACAGATGTTACAAGCATAATTTTCTTATGGTTTATAGAAATTCAGGAAAAGGTTTCTGTGAAAAATAGAACCAAACATTGGAAAGAACACCATTATTTAACATTTTATTATATTATAAAAAGTTATTGTATGTCCTCTGGGTTAGTACATCTGTAGTAAGAACTTCGAAAAGTTGGAATTAAAGGTTAGCAGGAGCTCTTTAAATAAAATGTAATTTAGGTCAGAGTTTTCTAGCCAGTGCTTAGCTTCCCTGGCTTTGAGAACCTTTGGTTTAATTCTGCCTATTGCCAAATCCTTGTGGTTGTGTTAAAATGACAGTGGTTGAATTTCTGATTTAATTTCCTGGTCTTACTGGTTCCTGTTTCTAACTTGTTTTGTTGTTGAATTTCAGCAAAGAGCTAGAAAAAACTGTAGACATATGTAGGACTAAAAGAAAGGGTTTAATTTCATGAAGCTATAATACATGAAATATGAGGTTTTTGGGAATTGAATTGCTTTAGAAAACTAACAAACTTGGAAGCAAAAGACACTTGGATATTAGGCAGAAAACTGGTAAGATAAATGTTTAGATTTCAGGGAAGGTTGAAAGGCACTCATTTTGGATGGAGACTTCAGGCCCATGGTGTGTGTGGTCCTGAGGTAACCTAGCTGTCTCATTGTCTAGTCTGCCCCAGTTATGGCCCTGTGTTGCCTGTCTAGGAAAAGTTACTAAAAATTTGGAGACAAAATCCTGTGTTTATTAATATTCTTTACTAAGGAATATGGTGGTCATCTAGCAAGGAATTTTGTCTAGGAGTGCTTTCAGAGAATGCGGCTTTACGTTGAACTATAATTTGCTTTTCATGGGTAGTTCTTTATTTTCTTCTGGGTTGGAATCCTTTCCCCATACCTAGTGCATATGTAATTTTTGAGACAGTTTCCCATTTGCTTAAAGATTTAAGAGCTTAAGAATATTAGTATCATACAACACTGGTAAATGTAATTCTTATTTTTCACATAAAGTGAAACTTCCACATACTGAGGTGATCTGTAATAGAGCATGCTATTTCTTTTCTGTGGAATATACCCAATCATTGCATTTGGACCAGATCAATTCATATGTTTATTAAAATTTTTGTTTAAAGCATTTTGGATGCTATTTTTTCTATAAAGGATTTTTCTTTAATAGTTTTTTAGCGATGATTTTCTATTTTCTCTTTCAATATTTATATTTATTCATTTCTAATTTTTCAGTCATAATTATGATGAAGTGTTATCTGCGTTAGTTAATCTGTAGTAAGGACTTTGGGAAGTTTGAATTAAAGGTAAGCCATAGCCCTTTAAATAAATGATAACTTAGGTCAGTTTCCTAGCCAGCGTAGATAGGCATAGATTATAAAGGAACCGTGTAGATAGATATAATCTGCACTTATAGTACAAACAAAAATATCTTATAAGAATGCCATTTACTACTGATGTAAAATATGATAGAAGAAAAGACTGTTTCCCTGCTTTGCCAATGTATGTGTATACATTTACCATAAAGAACAAAAAAACTATCTGCGAGACTTCCAGGTCCATTCCTTTATTTTCCTTTCTGCTTCTTTGATGTTTTATTTTATCTTTAAAAAGCGGTAGTTACTGAAGAGTATGCCACCCTGAAGCAGATGGCTAAATTTCAGTGGTTTATGTTTCTTCTACCTAGTGGAAATGACATGGATATGTGAAATTTGCAATATGACTTGTTAAAGATAAATAGAATACTTTTTAAAGAGCCCCAGCTACTTTACAAACAAAAATTTAAATCCTACCAAATTATAAAAAGTTCTTTAAAGCTTGCATTTTAAAGTTAATAGGTGTTTTAAATTGCCTACCTATATTATTATGGTATTGTGTATTTCACCTGAAACCAGAGTTTATACCATGTAGTTTATTAGATTATTTAGGTTTGTTTGAAAGAGTTTGGGTTTACTTTGAACTTTAATTGATCTGGAAATGGATTTGAGATTTTGAAGCAGTTCTAATAATGCTTTTAATACTAAAGCAAAGACCTCCTTGATATGTAGCAGCTTTTAGCAGATTCTAATTCTATAGGTAGTTGCATGAAATGTTTATTCAGAATTGTAAACTATAGGTTTATAGTTTTAAAAAACTATTATTTTTATTTATTTACTTAGAAAAGTGAAGAAAGGCTCACTACTGATAGACTCCAGTACTATTGATCCTGCAGTTTCAAAAGAATTGGCCAAAGAAGTTGAGAAAATGGGAGCAGTTTTCATGGATGCCCCTGTTTCTGGTGGTAAGTGGCAGCTAAAATCTATGCACACCTATTTCTATTTGTCAGAAATAGCAATTACAGTTTTGTGGTACCCAAGATATATCTAGTTATTTTTAGACCTGTTACAAGGAGTCTCAATTTCCTCATTGAAAACAAAGAACAAAACTCACTTTTGTTATTTAGTATTCTCAAAATATGTTGCTTGTTCTAAGTTCAGGTGAAAGGATGTCACAACTTTGAAGAATTGTGAACTTTTGGTCCAAATTGCTGTGGGTAGGGCTAGAGCTATTCGTAGAAAATTTAACGTTTCAGAACAGATTCAAGAAGTAATTAATTAGCTTGAATCATCTTTTTTTTTTAAGATTTACTTACTTATTTATTTGAGGGAGAGAGCACACAAACAGGGGGAGCAACAGAGGGGGAGGGAAAAGCAGCCTTCCCGCTTAGCAGGGAGCCCGATGTGGGGCTCGATCCCAGGGCCCTGGGATCATGACCCAAGCCGAAGACAGATGCTCAACTGACTGAGCCACCCAGGCGCCCCTCCTTGAATCATCTTTTAACTTTAAAGTAGCTGAGGAAGTGGTTAAAAAGAAAAAGTCATTTCACAAGGGAACTTTAGGCCCAGATGATTTTTTACAAGTGAAATGTTACCAGAGTTTCAAGTAGCAGATCATTTCAATTTTATATGAACTTTTCCAGACAATAGAAAAAAAGGAGACATTTCCCAGCTCATTCTACCAGACCTGTAACTCTGATACTTCAATCAAAAAGAGAGAGAAATGAGAGAGAAAATTTTAGGTGTATATCAGTCATGAATACAGAAGTAAAAAGTTTTAAAAAGTTCATTAGCAAACTAAATCCAGCCGTGTATAAAAGAGATCAAACACTACAATCAGGTTTATCTCCTATGTACTCAAATGGCTTAATATTAGAAAATCTATAAATCTACTTCGCCACATTAACATACTTAAAAATCATATGATCATCTCAATCGGAGGACAAGGATTCTCACTAATAAAATTTTAAAAGCATATTATTATATCAAATCTTAATAGTAGGTATCTGGGTATTTTGGAATGGTAGTATTATGGGTATTATGATTTTCCATAATTTTGCAAGTTCCAAAATTATTGTGTAATCAATAATGGTACACACACCTGCACACACACAAACATATACACGTACATATGTAATTTGTAGTTGAAGACTAGTTTCTAGTTGGAGACTTTCTAGAAAGGCTGGACTGAAGAAACCAATCATTTGCTCAAGACCAAGACTAGATTTGTCTCACATCCCACTGCATTAGGAAATACTATTTTCTATAAAGTTCTAATTTATTCTAAGAGGAAAATAAAGATTGCTAAATGGAAGGTTGTCCTTAAATTATAAAATCATCCATCTTAGTACAGTGCTAAAAATAGCCAACAGCTAGTATGGTACATTGTTATAGTAATGACCTTTAATGACTCACATCTCTGAATCCACTCTGTGTGACCATGTGCTGCATTGACTCTGACTTGAGCCATCTGACTTGCTTTGGCCAGTGGTATGTTAGCAAATGTTACACAAGGATAGACTTGAAAAGCACTTTGTACATTGAGTCTTGCCCTGTCTTGCTCACGGGGACTCTTCTGCTGTTGCGTAGAGAAGCCTGGATTAGCCACCTGGGACGTGCGCTAACCACCAAGCATGGGAATGAGGCCATCTTGACCATCCAGCTAGAGTCAAGTTCCCAGATGACTGCAGCTGTATTAGTGACCTCAGGCCTGATGAGCAAATGAACTGCCCCGCTAAGGTAGTCTAAATTACTCACCCATAGGATTGTGAGCAAATAAACCCACTAAGTTTGGGGGTGTAGTGTAGCAGTAGATAACTGATAGAGCCAATATAGTTGATATTGCCATAGTTACGTACAAATGTTTGTTACTTAATGTATCGATTAGTGTGCTACCTGTGCTTACTTAGTCTGTTATAAACCCTTTCCGAAGGAGAATGATAGTCCTGTAGTTAGCATAAAAGGCCAACTTTAATGCCAAAGCTGAGTTGCCAAAATGAAGTTTATTAAGCCAGTCCAGAAAAGAGTTTTGTTTGCTGTAAACAGGTCCCAGACTTATATCTCTCTATTCCTGATTACAAAGGAGAATGTTTGCCTAAATGTTACCTAAGTAGCTGCCCTGGTGAGCTGGTATGAGATACCCATATTTAGTAAGATCCGGAAAAGTAAGTTGGTAAAAATTCAGTAAGTCTCATTATGGTGTTCTCATGGACTGCTGGGGGTTAAATAGTACGTCTAGCTTTTAAGTGTCTTTTCTGCTTTTAGAATTGAGTTTTATTATTGGGAGAGACTTTAGCAGTAATTTAATTTGACTTTGTTATTTTACATTTGGGAAGTTGAGATCCAAAGATGTTAATTAAGTGACTTGCCTAGGGTTCTCCAGTTTGATAGCCAATCTAGAATTAGAATCTTACTCTCCCAACTCAGTCTAAGGATCTTCCCATCAGACCTTCTTCCCTTTAGTCCCACCCTGTGGTATGGTAGCCTTTCTGTTTTTGAAAGCAATGGCCTACTATTAACCCATTTCTAACAGTTTTATCTAGTGGCTGGTCCTCTGTCTTCTGTCTTGCTAGCTATGGCACTGCCATGTAGTGAAACTTTTGGCGGGGAGGTGAGGGGAGAATTGCCTTCTTTTCTAACTCTCAGAGGTTAGCTTCTGACCTGGGAGAGGCCTAACATTTCTGTTCCAGAGTCATTTGGGAAGAAATGGTTGAGAGGACATTATTCTCAAATCAGGAGACTTCTGGAGAGATCAGATCAGTCTTATTGTGTTGACCCCATCCTAGAATGTTTATTAACTGGCCATCAGGAGTCTGTTGTTCTGCGGATGGCTTGAACCAGGGGTTTTTGGGTCTTTCCTGTTTTGGATCCACTGGCTGGTGCTGTTTAATCAAATAAATGTCCAGGAAAAGAGAAAGTAAAGTAATATTTTGACATATTCCTAATATGTTTGAATTTGACTAGGATAGGATCTGTTCTGAGGTATAAGGACTTGGAGTTGAACAGGATTATACCTGAAAGCAGTGAAGCTGTTTTCCATGGCTCTCATCTATGTCCCCATAGTATAGTATCTATGCCACTGCAAGGACCACCGTGTTATGCTTATGTTTGTGCCTGTTTCTTCTACTACTAGACTCCGAAGAAGGCAGATACCATGTCTTTCTCAACTTTCTATCTCCAGTGTATATCTCCTGGTGAGCATGTAATAAAGTATGGTTGATTGAATCAAGAATCTTCTATTTTTAAAATTCAGGGTTAGTGTTAAATATTTTGAGCCGTCCTGCAGTTATTTCTCACTCCCAGGCTGTTCTCCAGTTTATTTATCTCCAGATTATTGACCTCTCTCTGAAGTTCAAGTAACTGCCTCTATATTCTAACATCAGTAAGATAAGTAGTTACTGTGTTCAGAATGTTATATTGTAATATTAGATGCCATTGGGAAGTGTGATTATGATCACAAGGGTGGGGGTAGGATAAAAGAAGTAGAATATATTCAGAGCAACTTAAAGTAAAAGTTCTTACATTAGAAGTTTAGAATTTAGTAAAACATACTAATAAAATGATTTGTAAATTGTTACAAAGTGCAAAATAATGTAGCACAGCAGTTTTCCCGGTACTTAGCAACCAGAAAGGGAACTCTTAACAGTTTAATCATAATGGATGGAACTAGAGGGTATTATGCTAAGTGAAGTAAGTCAATCAGAGAAAGACAATTACCATATGATACTCCTCGTATATGGAATTTAAGAAGCAAAACAGAGGATCATAGGGGAAGAGAGAAAAAAAATAAGACAAAATCAGAGAGGGAGACAAACCATAAGAGACTCTTAATCATAGGAAACAAACTGAGGGTTGCTGGAGGGATGGGTAAGTGGGTGATGGGCATTGGGGAGGGTATGTGATGTAATGAGCACTGGGTATTATATAAGACTCACTGACCTCTACCTCTGAAACTAATAATACATTATATGTTGATTAATTGAAATTTAAAAAAACAGTTTGACCATAGCAACATGCTGGGCATTGTAAAGAAATACTGTCTTTGTCCTTTCTGGGGTGGCTACTAAAACTTACTTTGACTTTTACCTTATATTCATCTGTATGGATATTTAGAGAGAGGGTAACACCTGATTTGACTTACACAGTTGAATTTGGGGCAACAGAAGAATTTTTAATTCTGGAAATGGAAAATTTATATTAAAGATTACCTAGAAACCTCATAAATGATTCCCAGTTACATCCAAGGGGAACCAGTGGAATTTGGAATTAGATTTGACAGTTCTTTAGTAAATAGTCTTTAAGCAAGGAAGAAAGGGAATTGGTTAGCTTATATAATTCTCTTATCACCTTTAGTTTCAGTTTTGTTATACTTCTGTTAATAAACTCAGAGACATTCACTTGATATTAGGAAGAGCCTAGAACTTTTAGGGAAAGAAGGTAACTCTAAAAATGAAGGTCTTCATTTTTTCTTCACTGAAATGTACTTAATATTATTCTATTTATATAATTCTTACAAGATTATATACTGTTTTCTGATTATATACTCTTATCTAATTTTACTATTATGTCTTGATTGCAAGGGACACGCTTCATTCTTCATTTCATGCAACAAGCATTTATTGAGTACTTTTATGTGGTGGGTATGGTCTAGACACTAGAGGTAGTGCTTTGAAGATATTCAAAATCTTTTGCCTCATGAATTGTGATTTAGTAGGAATAGAGAGAATAAACAAACAAAAATAATTTCAATTAGAAGTGCTATGAAGAAAAAAAAGGCAGAGTAAACATTTAATGAAACAAAGACTTCAGGGGAAGGTCCTTTTACATAGAATGGACAGGATGTCTTCTCTGGGGAAGTGATCATTAAGCAGATATCTGAGTGCACAACTTCAGGGGAAGAGTATTTCAGTGGAGCAGACTGCTCTGTATGGGCTCTGAGGTATGAAGAAGCCTGGTATGTTTGTGAAACATTTATCTTTGTATCACCAGGACTTAGCAGGTAATTGCGCTCAGTGTTTATTAAATTAACTCACCTTTACACTGACTCCCCATATGTCTGACACCATGCCTTTGTTTATCAGTTTGTGGTTATCAAAGGAAAGCTAACTGGGCTTTATATAAATTAGCCCATGACCCTGGCCTCAAATATGATGCCCTAATCTGTTTACCTGTCTTGTGTAAATCACATCTTTATGAAAGTTGTAATCCTTCTTTAATGTCACATGTCCGTCGTTTAGTCACCTTGTTCTGGATATGTGCTTTTTTTTTTTTTTTTTTTAAGTGTAGAGAGAGGGTCTGCTACTACAGGATTAATTCCAATGCGATCAGTTCTCTTATATAATGAATGCTGGACATAAAGCAAATTAAAAACTATCGTTTGTGACTAATGACCAAATACTGTTCAGTCTGCTCCAAGGGCGTAATTATAGCACTTAACTGTGCTTGGATAATTGAAGAATAAATTCACTGATTGCCTCCTATGTCTGTAGAGTTACACAGAGACCTTGAGTTAAAGTGACTCTAAAGTGGCACTTGTAGTTAGCCCAAGGCTGTCCGGGATGGCAAGCCTCATTGATTTGCTAAACTGTATTGCTCCAGTTAGGGATTAATGTCAAAATTAAATAATTGAACTGATGTGTATGTGTTTGTGTAACAGTTCCCTACCAGGAAACCAAATTTTATACTCTGCTTGGCTGGGTTTTTAGTAATTTGTTCGAGGTATTCTTAGAATAGGGAGTAACAGTAAGCACAAAATCTATTAAGGCGTTTCTGTTAGAGCGTTAGACTTGCTTGCTAAATTCCTCAATGAAAGTCTCACATAGACTCCATTATTGTTTTTAAAACCCAATGTGTAGTCTTGGCCTTAACTGCTCACTGAACTGGTATCTGCTGTTTTTCCCTGTTTTTCCACTAGATCTGTATCTAATTTATGGTAAAGAGACCACAAAAACAAAAATTACTTCTATTTCGGCACATAACACCATTACAGTTAAGGGTCTGTTGGCATTTCTACTAGAACGTTTTCTTAGAGAAGTTTATAACTTGGCAATTTTACTTGGCTTTGGGCTGAAACATTGCTATTTCTGTCCAAAAGTAAATTATGTTACCAAATTTCATATAACTGGATTTGCCTTATTTGATAATGTGTGGAGAGGGAAGGGCTGTCACACACAATAGGTCTTTTTTCATGTTCTCACAGGCTGTTTGATTACACAGTAGTATTGGGTGTGGTGTTTAGTCTTACATTTTAGTCTTACGTCGGTAAGATTTTATTTTTTTTAATGTTTTGAAATAAGTTGGTTTAACAGGGTTAAGATAATTCATTTTCATGGGTTCTTCCCTTTAAAGAATTGTAGTACTGTGATGATTTTTAGTTCTTTTTACATTATTAACTTATTATAAAATTTAAAAGCACTTTGTGGCAGGGTGCCTGGCTGGCTCAGTCCATAGAGCATGGGACTTTTGATCCTGGGGTAGTGAGTTCGAGCCCCATGGTGGGCATACAGATTACTTAAAAAAAAAAAAAAAAAAAAAAAGTTAAGAAAAAAGGACATTTTGTGGCACTCACTTTTGTAGGAGAGACTTGAATTATTCGGTCTTGAAAAATATTAGGTAAAGTAAGCCTTTCCTTGGTCTGTTCTGGTGGTATTTAAAGCTTTAGTAATTCAAATAATTAAAATTTTCTTTAATTTTGTTTGATGGACAAATCCATTTCCTTAAAAATGACGTAAGCTTCATCAATACCAACACACCAAAAATGGGTTAATTATGTTAGCCATTTACATTTACCCATAATTTTACTTATCACCTTGTATCCAGTAAGTATCCTTTTTGTGTAGGATTTTCTCCAGTTTGCACTAGTTCAGAAATGTTTGGTAAATACCAGAGATTTCTTTGAAATTAGTCCCTAAGAAAAGGTGCCCCCCAAAAACCTCTTTTTACATTCTTCGGCATGCCTAAGTCTCCCCTACCACAGTTGTCATGGACAGGAGTCCCTATATAAGGTGTTAACGAGTTCTTCACACGTTTAGAGAAGACTGCTGACTCACTGCCCAAAGTAACATAGTTGAGGCAGCTTTAATAATTTGTCTCCTAAGAAAATAGAAGAATGGGTTAGAGAAGGCACGGTGATCACTTCATTCAGTCTTGTTATTGTTATCATTTATTGTTAGTAATAATTATCATTGCTAATGACAACCTAGTTCATTTCTAAGAATTCACTTTCTTGCAGTTGCGGTTCCCCCATCTCCCAATCTGGAGGCCAGGTTTTAATTGCATTGCAGTTTCTAGTCAAGCAACCATTATCAGGGTTGCTCTTGCCAGGCTCTGTCCTGTGGTGGAGGGATACTGTGTTTTCTTCACCTGGTTATGTTGGAAAGTGCATGGATAAGGCAGGGGTCCTGTCTGAAGTAATCCTAGGGTATTTTTAATGTCCTTTAATTGCCATTCAGGATGTAAGTCAGACCAGACACAATTGGGTCTGGTCACAGTTCAGAACTGCCTAGTGGTGTTTATATAAAGGTCAAGTATATTTAGCAAATAAATCCCATGAAGCTATTACTTATATATAATTTATTTTTTTATTAACATCTGTTGATTCCTAAGCAGTGTGAAATTAGTTCCACTATACCTGCGTATTATGTCTTTATTTGTTTCACTTGTGATCCCTGGATAGCACTGGGGGTAAAGTGGGAGGAGGAAATGGAATTAAGAATTTCACAAGGGCCTTGTCATTGCCATCAAACCATTATCAGACTTACTTGTGGTTTTCTAGATGTCTGATTTTCTTCAAGTTTGGTAATGTTAGCAGATGAAAAGTAGATTAAGTAGAGTTTAAATCCTCTCTCTATATTTGCTGTATGATTCTATTTTGTTTTGCATTGCTTTGGGTGTTTTAGTTGTGAAAATTTTTAAATCCAAAGGCACATTTCATAGTAAGGACCCTTCCCTCAGGGCCAGTGGAGGTATGGTGGCCCACTTACCTTCTCTCTTCCTTGAAGTGATTTTAACTTGACCTAAAGGTAAAGGGTTTTGTTGGTGGTGTTTTGTACTTAGCTCAGATTACCTCTATCAATATGAGAGAATGTGGACTTTTTTAGAAGGGTATTAACAATTTTAAGATTTGTCCATGACATCTCTTTTATTGAGTTATTGACTGTTAGTTATGGTCATCTGAACGTTCATCCATTGTGGTCTTTGAGACAGCATTGTTGTTAGGGAGGTTTTTTAAAAATTAAACATAATATGAAGCTCGGCCTACAAATAGTTTTATCATTAATTACATTGTATTTCCCCTAATTCTTACGTGTTAGGGTAATACTTGTTCTCAAGTGGCCAACATTTTTGACATACTATGCACATATATTAAAAGAGTAGAAAAATAGTCTTGGCAGACACTGAAATGGTTAATTGGCTTTTCCTGCCAAATAGGTTTATAAAACTTTCTGAAAATTAAGAAGTGGGAGGGAGAGAATTTTTCTTTGCATAAATGCCATATTTTATTAACCCTTTACCTATAAAGCTATTTTTAGGGTATAAGCATTTTCTTGTAGCAAATTTTTTTCATTAGGCAGCTAGAGGAAGAAGAATAGTTGATTTATTGTAACTGTCAAATATCTGCAAACATTCCAATAGTTAAAAGAATTATTTCGACATAAAATCCTAAGTAGAGGTGAGATTTTTTTTTCTAAAAGTAAATGATAATTTTGAGAAAGGAAGAAAAGCAACAGCATGGTGACTTTGAGATCTGTAATCTTTAATAGCTAATTTTAAAACATAGCATTATAATTTGATGGTTTCTAATGATCTTTAATCAGGATGTATTTTTATATTCTTATTAGTACTTGTATAAAATCAACAGCTTTTCATGATAAGACATTTACATCTTAAATCTTGCACACTGCTCTCTTAGGAAATAGATGGAACAACACTGGATATTTAAAAATTAATAGGAATAGTCTATATTTGATTCAGAAAAGTTTATATAGTATTCAAGGGCTAGTGGACAAGGGCAAGAGAGGGAGAAGCAGGGCAGGAGCATGTGGGGGAATGAGAGAGAGATTACACTGTCCTTTTCCATTTTAGCTGGTAGTTTGGAGTAAAACTGTAAAGTTAAACTTTTTGGAATTGTTACTACCCCGAGTGGGAATATAAACTATATTGAACAAAATTTATTTAGCCTGTTAAAAAGTCAACCTAAAACTGTAGTTAATTAGTTTACATTATTACATCACTTCTAGTTAGAGACTCAAACTGGTACAGAGTAAGAGGAGCTCTATCAGGTGAGCTGACTGCTACCCATATGGGGCTTTAAGATAATGATGAGTTTAAATTTCCTCTTAGAGCTAAGTGAGAATAAAACTGGAGGCAATAAATACTCTTGGCCAAAGCCATTAAATGAAAAAGCTGGGAATTCTCCAGCTCTTGACTTAAATTGTTTGTTTATCAGCTGGCGCCTAGTCTGGAGTCAAGAGCTGGAGATTTCTATCTGTGACAGAACTTTGAAACTCTTGCAGGACACTTTCATTTAAACTTAAGGTAACTTGAGTTTATAGCTTTGGCTTTAAAGATTACTAATGATTTACTCATTTCCTTACCATTTAACCAGAGTGGACTTTTTCCCAGGAAGGGATCTGTGTTTATTTAGGGCCTTTGTCTGCGGAGGGATTAAAAGGCAGCCCACCAGCATTGTGAACTTGATGGTAATAAAAGGTCACCAAAACACACCATAAAAACATTCTTACCATGGAATTAATTATACAGTGTAATTTTACAAAGCAGCTCAGTTACTCCATCCCTGCCCCCTCCCTCCATTCTTAAACATTTCATCTTTTAAAAATTAAAGCTGTGGTATAATTTAGGTTTTTGAAAAAATACTTTGCTGCTTTTATGATATTTAAACATTGAAGAAATTGTCACATGAAGTTAATTGCTTAAAAATTTTAAAGTTCTTAAATAAAATGATCATTTATTGTTAAACTCTGGGATGAATATCTTGTTTGGGAGAGAGTAGAGTAGTCAAAGGGATGGTTGGAACTTCAACAGCTCAGTTTCTAAAAACCGAAGCCTACTTAAGAGTTTTTTTGTGCCACCAGGTGGCATTGCATCCAAACCTGCTTGTGATAAAGGAAGGTTTTTAAATTAAATTCTTTTTTGTTCGAGAGGTTATAATACTTTTTTCTGGATTTTGCTTTTGAAGTTGGCTTAAAAATATATCTAATATCAACATTGATTAAATGTCTCCAAAGACCTGGAAGGATTTCTGAACTCTGCAAATGTTTGCCTTTAGGTGGTTAATATTGAAATGAAAGTAAAATGTTGAAACATTTGCAAAGGATTGCTATTTTTTTTTTTTTTTTTGTAAAATGAACATTTAATAGTTATTCTTGTTTTGCTTTTCTAAATACTCGAGAGAGGATCCTACCTATAAAAACCCTCACAAATGTTGCAGAAACTCCCCAATATTTCAGATCACCCCTTCCCCCAACACACTCACACCTGCCCCAGCCCTTATAAAAAAAAGTGTCAGTCCCACTGTATGGGAATTTTTAAAAAGACAGAAAGACCTCAGAAAGGTGCAAGTCAGTCCTTTTCACAAGTCTAACTATGAGATTCATTAGGCAGTTCATGCTCATGTCTTAAAAGCTGCTTTTGGCAAAGTAAATTCTTGCAGTTTCCTGTACTGGTTTTGAGGGAGTCTTTATAGTCTTTTGAGTCAGCTCATTTTAAGAAAGTGATAATGTAAAAGCAAGAAAAAAACCCCTCATTACAAAGTTTATAAAAGTATGATTTTTAAATTAAAATACATATTGTTCTATTTTATGAACCCACATATATTAATAAACTGTACAGAAACAAATTATTTAATACAGCCTATCCAAGTGCTATGATATGTTGTCAGAATAAATAAGGTTCAGTGTACACTCTATTGATTTTTATCCTTTTAAAAAATGTATTCACCATGCAGAGATGTTTAATGCTTAGCTTTGATCATTTATCAAAAAGCTTTATGAAATTTTTCTCATTTTATATTCTTGTCTCTTCTGTGAGGCTTCTTAGAAGTGTGTACAACCTGTTTAAGAAATGTATATGTTTTCAAAGTAAATGTTTGACCTCCCACCTTGATGTTTTGCTTTTAAACACACATGCGCGCGCGCACACACACACACACTCTCTCTCTCTCTCTCTCTCACACACACACACACACACACACACACACACACCACCCATAAGCCCCCACGTCTCTATATTTTGAATAACTTGTTTGGAATGTGTGTTGTACTAAAACTAAATATATGCAGACTTCAGTATTACAAAGAGAGAATTTTGTTTTAAAAATTATAAAAATTTGAAAGTAGTACTTTCGAAAATAGTCTAGACAAAGGTACTCAAGACATTTGACCCTGAATATTTTACTTTTAAACCTGATACAACAGGCTGTTTCTTAGCTTTGTGGTATACTGATATTTCTACTTATTTAACATCAAAAAGCTGTAGTGGTTTCTGTTTATAGATTGTGCCTGTGTTCTGGAATTGCCTCCTGCTGTCCATGAATTGCTTCTTGGCTTGTTTTGTTAGAATTTCTCACCAGGGTTTTTGTGAGCTATGTAGCCAACATTAAAAAAAAAAAAAAAAAAAAAATTTGATACAGTAGACTGGACTAGTAAAAATTATACTTACTGTTCATGATGATAAATGAGTAAACCTCTTGGCTCAGCATATCAGTTTTATGTAATAAAAGCCCATGCAAATCTCATGTAATAATATGCATATATAAAATTACCTACAATGACTCTGTTTTCCTAGTTATTTCTGTAATATTAGTTAACTATTTTTTTGTAGAAATTCCAGAAGCTTACTTTTTCATTAAAAAATAATAGAAAAAAATCCTTACTCATTTCAGGGTGTGGGTAATTTGGTAATGGAGCATTTAGATTTTGGCTTCTTTCATTTCAGTTGGAAATAGTATTGGTGTTAAGTGAGTGCTGCCATGGGAACCTCCACAGAGATATAAAAGGCAAGACTGTCTAAGTGGAGGAGGGGTGATGTACTAAAATACCACTGGCCTAAATGATCTATTATATGTGTGTCGCGGGTACAGGGGGAGCTGGTTTGAGAAGGGAAGAGAAAGTAGTACAGAGAGTAAAAGTTAAAACCATGTACTCATAGTTTTGGAACCTCATAGGTGGAAGTGTTCTAAGTTTGAAATGTGGTTCTTAATTATTTGTGTCATATGCATATGCTGGGAATCTTTGCATACCTTATTTTTAAACTGTGTTGATGGAACATGTTTAACTTGATTTTAGTTAAAATAGTTCAGTGAAATTTGATTGGAAGGTTAGGATATTGGTCTCAGAGATGGCTTTAATTATAAATTTTATTAAAAATAGTTATACTTTTTCAGATATCTGGAAAATTTTTAAAAACTATTTTTTGGAGACATTTGGCTTTCAAAGCAAAACTGGCTATGAAGTATACTTAAATACTATAAAGTATTGTTAGTATTAGATTTCAAAAGTTAAAAAATTTTAATACTTTATAAATATTACTCAAGGAAACAATGACTTACTGTATTTGCATGTGTAATATTGTAGGGTTTTCTAAAAAATAAAAATAAAAACAGCAAAAGCAAACATCAAATCCTTTTGTATCCTTTAGGAGCACATGTGTTGCTATTAATAAAGATGATTAGAGAATAGCCAATTTAACTGCATATAAAATAACATTTTTGTTTTTTTGTAATTTAGATTACAAAACACAGTGAAATTGTGTCCAACATGAGTTAGCGTGGTAGAAAAGCAACATCATATTGCACTTTTAACACTATGGATTCTGGTTGTCAGATACACGTGTAAAAAAGGAAGAGACATTAACCTGGCAAAAACTGTTTAAACTTACCTTCTTTAGTCAGTCCAGAGACAAAGTAAAGCTGCCAAGGTAATAAAACATCCGGAAGTTTTTAAAATAAAAAGAGTAATTTAAATTAAAAATGGGAGGCGGGAGCGGGAGAAGAAAGAGGGTAAAAAAGACAGCACTCCGCTCCCCAGGCCAGGCAACATCTGATGTAAATTAACCGCAGTGGAAGTGTATTGTTTCCAACTCAGCACAAACAATGCGGGGCATCTCTTCTTGAGGGGTGGATGTTTGCGTGGAAAAGGGGGTGTTGAGAAGTGAGCTGGGTTGCAGCAAGTTTAGCCATCAGGGGATTTTGCGGCATAGAAAACGGTAGGATTGAGAGTAAAGAATGAGAAAGTATGTTTGCATATAAAATTAACCAAGTTAAACCTTCAAGAGGTGTGAAATAATTCATAACTGTGAGAACGCTTAGTTGTCAATAATCTTTAAAGGGTTTTTTTTTTGGTAAAGAGACTGAGGCCTTATACTGTAAAATGTTCAGCAACCAAGGTACCCGCTTTGAGGTGTACTTTGGCATAGGATATCTGTTTAGTTTTAGATTTGACTTCTTAAAACAACAACAAAAAAAACTAAGAAAAATGTATTTCTTGGAAAAATAGATAGTAAGAGTGATAAAAAGTCAAACTTATCAAAAAATACTTTAAGAGAATGAAAGTAAGGGCGGCAACATCTGTGTTGTTTTTCTCTTTCAGTTTTTGTCTGCTGTGCTCTGCCCCACCCCCACCCCCATGCTTCCTTGGGAAAAAAATCTGACAATCTTAATAGAGTGGAAAGCATAAAATTGCACATGGCCTTATCAATAAATGGATTCGAAATAGCTTTGCTTTAATCACCTTTAAAAAGTTTCATAATATAGCATTTTCTAGAAGAAGGCAACTAATATTTATTATTAAGTACCTTTGGTGTGTCAGGCTATCACAGCAACCTCATGAAATGCATATTATCCTCAATTTTTAGTGAGGAAGTTGAGGCTTATTTAGGAAGGGACCACATGACAACATGTAATTATTATAAGAATTAGCCTGATGTAGCAAAAAAGAAGGCATTTTAGGTAGAAGATTTTAAAATATTGTATAGGACTAATACCTTCAAGTCTGGCATTTGTTTAGGTTGTTAGGATAATGAAAAAGCTTTCATTTGTTTATTTAAAAACAAATTCAGTAGAAATACTTTTTTCATGCTCCGTTGATATCACCATTTAATGACATACTCCACCCCAAATCAAAATATAGAAAGAATAATTAGTCGACCAAAATAGTCCACATACATAATTTTTTTTTTTTTAAAGAATTTATTTATTTATTTGACAGAGAGAGAGAGACAGCGAGAGAGGGAACACAAGCAGGGGGAGTAGGAGAGGGAGAAGCAGGTTTCCTGCGGAGCAGGGAGCCAGATGCGGGGCTTGATCCCAGAACCCTGGGATCATCACCTGAGCTGAAGGCAGACGCTTAACGACTGAGCCACCCAGGCGCCCTCACATACGTAATTTAAAGCAATTTTGTTTTTGGTTTTATATGCTTGAATCTAGTCACCTATAGGAATAAAAGAGAAAATCTGGAACCGGAAGTGAAAACCGTAAGTTTTAAACCTAAAATATCTTCCTTGGAAGGTCTTTTAGAAGTTGGGTATTAAAAAAGAGCCGAAGTGTGTCTTATTTAGAGTATGTTTTCTCTTTTACCTTGTGTTTTAAATTTTTTATTTTCCAAAATAAATTAGTCACAACTTTTTAAATACCAAAAAAGGGCCTTTACAAAAGATTAGTGAGAGTTTGTGTGCACGTATACCTTTTGATAGTTTATAGTTTTCAACATTAAGACCTAAGACTAACAGTGTATGCAGCTTATTGCTCAATAATAATAATAATAATAATAATAATAATAAAGTATACTCTTTAGTCTTATTTGATGTTGCAACTATCATTGGGTATTTTACTGAATTATAATGTGTTAGGAATTGATGATTTTTATTTTGTCAATATTTTTAACCCCTCTGAATATATACATTTCTTCAGTCATGTTGCTAAAAAAAATCTGTCTCAACAACTTTTAACTAAAGGCCTTTAAGAGTAGTGTGGGGGATGTGTGTGTATGTGTATGGGGGGGTTTGTGTGTGTGTTTTAATAGTTTTATCCTAAAGATAACTCTCTGAAAGATGCTTTCTATACCTAATTCAGATTATGTTTAAAACAAACCAAGTGAACAAACTCATACTCATTATAGTCTAACTATAACACATAGATTTCATTGATGTCTGTAAGAAAATCTGATGTTTATGACATTTTGCTTTGCCAATTTTTCTCTGATTTTTATAAAAATCAAGTATGCTGAAGTTTGATATGCTAATGAATATTTGGAAAACAAACAACCCTGAGAATTTCAGGTATTTAAATAATCTGATAGATATGTCTGGTTTCATCCTTATAGATTTCTAGCTCCAAATGTGATTGGCAGTAGTTTGGAAAGAAGAATGAAGAGGAAGTTCTTTCCCTTATGTTGGTGTGTTCAGCAGGGAAAAACAAACCAACATCCTTGTTACTGTAGCTTAGAGCACTAAAGAAGAGCCTCTTACCAGTTCCCAGGTTTTTTTGGTAGTCATATATGAAGCTTCTTTCATTTGTTTGTTGTCTTTATTCTTAATATTCCCGGCCTTTATGCACATTGTTTCTAGAAATGCTTACTACTGTGGATGGATTACTGTGAAAGGAAAGGTTAGAGCAGAGAATATTGGCAAGAAATTTCTGGCAAAAAAAAAAAAAAAAAAAAAAAAGATATTCTGACCCTGGCCCTTACTAGGGTAAAGTTCCAAGGGAATAAAGATTATTGCTGGTCAGAAAACCATCCAACTGGATGGTGATGAAAACTGGAGTTCAGCCAAATTTATTTTTGTGTGTTTTTGCTCTTTTCCTGTTTTTGGTTGTTATTGGAAGGGACCTTTGGTGGGTCATCTGATTATGACAGGATGAAGGTCAAGTTTAGTTTTGCTTGACTTCAGTGGTGTTACCTTTCTAACCACAGCGGCCTATGATAATGAGATTGTTCATCAGAAAAAAAAAAAAGAGCAATTCTTGATCTTTATCTGTATATCAGATTTAAATGGTGATGTGTTTTTTGAAGATTGAGGTTGTGATTTTAAAAGGGTGAGCTGTGATATTTTAGGATATTTTAGAAAGTATGTGCACATACAACAGTGTTTTTATGAAGGGAAGGTGATATGGGAAAACTGTAGTAACAAGGGTAAAGAAAAATAAGGACTCCAGAAGAAAAATACCCATTTTGGTTTTGCTGTTTAAGGGAGAGAACTGGGGAATTTATAAATATTATCAATTGAATGTGGGTATAGAGTTAAAAATAATAGGGGAAAGTAGCACTTGAGAATAATAATTTTGATGTCCACACCAAACACCCCTTATTAAGTATATTTGCAATACAGTTAAACACCAAAATAAACTCGAAATAAATTCCAAGATAAGGAGTTGCTGATTTTTATTTTAATTTGTAGAATGTGTCGTGTGGATATGAACGTCACAACTGGGGCATGAGTTTTGGGAAAAGGTACTATGGCAATAAGCTGTTTGTGGTTTCACACTCTAACCATTTACTATTTCCCACTTATTTTCCATTGAGAATCATAGATGTGCATCTGTGCAGATGTGAATCTTCACCTGGCACTTCTCCCTACCCTGCGAAGACAAAATTTTAGCATCTAAAAAATAAGAGATTATTTTCTTTGTTCTTTCCTCCACATCCCACAGTAACTTAAACTGATTTTTTTTCCCATTGGCAACAAAAATGAAAGTTGATAGACCCTCCATTTACTTATGTCTGAATTTTAAATGTTCTTGAATTTTTTATATGATACCACAATGTACACAATTACAAAGAGAGGACCAACAAACATCTACTTACAATTTTTCACACAAACCTTTTTTGAAGAGAGAAAAAAACCTTCCTAACCCTCCATCTTTTGAGTCATTGATATTTAATTTTATTTGCATTATTTTACTTTTTCCTGCTAAATTTTAATCATAATTTTAAAAGCTAAAAAGTAAATGTAAAGGATTCAGAATAAAGTTTAGGCTGAAAAATTTATCTAATTGCTTCTGTTTGTTTGTTTTTTCCTTGCATTTCCCAGTGAAATTCCTTAAAGTAAGTTCCTTCCTTTCTACCTTTCTTTAAATTGGACCCAAGGAAGGCATTTAGTAAACGTTTTTCCTCCGGACCCTAAACCACAGCTTTGATGGATTCTTAAGGGTATTTACTCATATGTGAACCCATATCTTTGATATGGTGTTTGCTTTATAATGGGCCCTTTAATTATTCTTTCCCAAGAATGATTTAAGGCAAATGGATGGGATCATTCTCCTATTCTCTTAAGGTGTTCTGCATCTAACCTTGGTTTGGCAGGGGTGATTGTGTTATTGTATGTCTAGTTTGAGTTGTACTTACTTTGTCTTGCTTGTGCTTCTGAGTGGGCATACTTTTTGCTTTTCTTTTCAGTATTCACTCAATATGTAATTATTGAAATGAAATGGCGATAAAGCTTGTGTGGGAAAGAAGTCCTTGTTTCCTGTCTTTGTTGGCACTTGTGGGTTCCTAATCTCCTAAGAGTCTTGGGATGTAGATCTGTACATCACAACTAGGGGTGGGTAGTTTTTATGGTGAGGAAGAGGGAAAAAGATAGTATTGAAGCAATTCCTGTCTCGGTCTGCAAAGTGCAGATTGCATTTCTCTTTCAGTGGTGTTAGGTTTATGGCCCTTTTTTGGGAAAGTGCTATTAAGTGTTTGGAGACCTTTATCTTTCTCTGTTTTGTTGTAGCAGATGGAGTTGTCCTCTGGTGGTTTTGCTAGGTATGATAAATGTAGTACTAAAACTGCTTGGTGGAAGTTTGATCTGGAAAGATTACTATTTTTTTTGGTTTCCTGAAGAAAATGGAATCATAGTATTCAAACTCTTGGGGAAACAAGCCCATCAGCAGATCAGCAATAATAATGTGTACTTTTCACTGATGCTTGTGATTTTTTTCTCTTCTTTTACAAAGGTTTAGGAACAAAACCCAGGAATGATCAGTTTTGTCTGAAATAATATAAATGGTAGAAATAGTCAAACCTTTTCCCTCAGAGCATACAGGGAGAGATGTCTACATAATGAAGAATTGTTCCTTTTTTGCAAAATAAGAATGGAAGCAAAGAAGTTATGCAGTTCTTTTGTGTTCACGCAGTGTTGAAGTCTTACACAGCATAGCTATCCCTAGTTTTATTGCTAAAAAGACTTCTTTGTGCATATTTATAATATTCTAAGAAGCATGTCCCTCTTTGGCCATGCCTTTTTTTTTTTTTAGTTTAATTCTGATTAACTAGTATAACTTTTAGATAATCATGTACTTCCAGTAGCTTTTATGCAAATCTGTGGTTTATCTACACTGGAGTTAAAAGGTGTTAGCCAGCCCTTAGATATTGTATTGAAGCAAAAGTTTGATCAAATCCCTTGACAAACAGGTAGGAGATTCTAACCTAACTACCTAATTTGAAGACATTGGTTTTTTCTTTCTTGAGGGATTCCCATTCTAGATCAACTGGATACAATCTGGGAATAAAGATGTATCCTGAACTGAATCTGTGGAGTGATTTGCAAATAATTATTACCCTCAATTTTATTTATTTGCATTAATTACTTCCTTAATATAGGGAATTAAAAGTTGACTAGTTTTTGTATCTGAAACTCCCTTTTCCAGCTCCTTTATCTTTTATGTCCTAGCTTTTATGTATTCCTAGCTTTAATAGTTAGAAGCAACATAGGGAAGGATAAGGAATGTCTGCCGTCTCAAGTCCCTTCTTTTTACTAGTGTTAGGGAAAAGGGGGTGAACCATCATCAGAGTACTCAGTGGTCTCAGCGGTGTCTGAAGTGCTCCCAGGTCTTTGACTGTGGTTACAGCACCTGAGGTAGAGTATGCAAATGAATCTGGTTTGGGGGAATTCTGGCACCACATCCCACAGGGGGGAGTAACCTATGTAACTGCTGGAAGGTTATTGGCTTGTAGCATCCAGGTTTTTCTTTCTACTGTGACTGCTAGGAAATCAGAGCTAGATTTTGGCACCCAGTAATAATCATCATCCTTTTCCCAGCCTTCCCTTTTTCTATATGGTTTCCATTCTCACTTGTAACTTTACCTTATCGCATATTTACTTAGTCCTTACTGCCTAGTAGGCACTGGGAATACATGGTGAGCATGAAAGACCCGCTTTCCTTCCTCTTAGTGCTTATGGTCCATGTGTTTGTGTCATAAACTAGCTCAGAATCCTTTTTGGAAATAAGGATATGAATCATAACTATGGATTTCTAGGGCCACCAGGTTTTCTTACCACTTCTCTATTTAGAAAATTTTACTCTGTGTACTTTTATTCCTCCTCCCTTTGTTTTCATTTTCTTTGCTTATTTTTCCCTTCAAAATATTTTTAATGAAATGAATACTCTTATCTCCCTTTTCTTCTTAAAACTTTTGTATATTCTAGTTGAATACAGTGTCTTAATATTTTTAAAAGATTTTATTATGTGTATATGCATATGCACACAAAAAACAAAAATGGGATTCTTTTTTGCAACTTATTTTTTCATTTAATGTAATTTAATGTGTCTTAATATATAAAAGATTTATACTTTTTAATATAAAGCATTCTATTAAGTGGACAGACTTCTGTTATAGAAAGGCCACTCTAAATATTCTGGGACATAGATCTTTTCATGTACAGTGTATGTGAATTTATCAGTAAGAGAAATTCTAAGAAATGGAATTACTGGGTCAAAGAGTTTATGTATTTTAAATTTTGGTCAGTGTTGCCAGTTTTTTCACCAAAGTTAAATCTTCCATTAACAGTGTAGGAAACTATTTATTAATGGTCTTGCCAATACTATCTTTACATTTCTTTTCTAGTCTGATAGTTAAAAAATGGTATAATGTGGTTTTGATTTTCTTTCTTTCATTTTTTTCATTTTTTATTTTATTTTATTTTATTATTTTTTCTTTTTTTAAAGATTTTATTTATTTGACAGAGAGAGACACAGCGAGAGAGGGACTACAAACAGGGAGAGTGGGAGAGGGAGAAGCAGGCCCCCCCGCCAAGCAGGGAGCCCGACGCGGGGCTCAATCCCAGGACTCTGGGATCATGACCTGAGCCAAAGGCAGATGCCCAATGACTGAGCCACCCAGGCGCCCCTCTTTCATTTTTTTTAATTCCATATTATGAGTTTGAGCATTTTAATAATGTTTCCTGGCCATTTTTTTGTTTTTGTTTTTTTCTTTCCAGTGATTTTTTCTTCCTATTCTTTGGACATGTTTTTATTGGATTCATTCATTCAGCAGGTATTTGTTGAGTACTTAGGGTGTGCTGGGCCCTGTGCTAGGCATTGATCTTTTCTAATTGATATGTATGGGTGTCAAATGCTCATTCATTTATTCAACAAATATTTATTGACGATCTACCATGTACTAAGTACTAATCTAGCCTGGGAATACATCAGAGAGAACCTCCCTCCACACACATAACACCCACATTACACATTCCTGCTCTTAGGGAGTTTATATTTTAATGAATGTGAATACATGTGGGGAGATAGATATGTTGCAAATATTTTCGGCCAGTTTGTCCTTTCTTTTTTATTCATTTTGTTTATTTATTTATTTTTGAAATATAAGAAATTTTGAATTTTTATGTCATTGAACTTGTCAGTCTTACTTTTTATGGCTTCTGACTCTTTTGTCCTGTTTATCTCTCCAAGATTGTAAAATTTAAAAAAAGATTTACACATTTTTATTTTGCTTTGTGATTTCATTTTTAAAAATTTAAGTTTTTCATTCATATGGGATTTATTGTGGAGGGAATGAGGATAAAGATCTAGATTACCTTTTTTTCTTTAAATCAATTTAGTGAAAAATCTATCTTTCACCATTAATTTTATAAACTCCATTAATTTCATATATTCAATCCCCATACATATTTGGGTCTATTCTGAGCTCTTTATACTCTTATATTGATATTTCCTTGTTGATTTTTCCATAAGTAGGACATTTTTACTTTCAGTTGCTTTATTTTCCTGTCTACCCTACCTGGGAGGATAGCCTTTCATGGGTCTTTTTTCCCTTTCAGAACTCTCCAGACTACTTTTGCTTGTTTATTGTCCTAAATAGACATGAAAGTCATTTTATCATGTTCCTCCCAAAACATTCTATTAATATCTTGATTGGGATTGTACTGTTTATATATTAATTTATGGAAAACTGATATATTTACAAAACCAAGTTTAAGATTTACTCATTGATCTTTTATGTCTCTTACTAGGATTTTCAAGTTTTCTTCTTGTATATCCTAAATATTTCTTGTACAGTTTATTCGAAAGTCTTTTTATCTTTATTATTGTTGTTGGTATACATGGAGCCCTTTCTTTTTCTTTTTTTTTAACATTTCCACTTATTCTTGTTCATAAATATGAGAAGCTTCAATTTTTGAATTGAATGTTAATTTGAACTCAACTTTTTTTTTTTTTTTTTTTTTAGATTTTATTTAATTTTTTGAGGGGGGGGAAGAAGTGAGCACAAGTAGGGGGAGGGACAGAAGCAGACTCCCCACTGAGCAGGGAGCCTGACCCTGAGATCATGACCTGAGCCGAAGTCAGATGCTGAACTAACTGAGCCACCCCAGGCACCCTTGAACTCAACTTCCGTTTGAATTCTCTTATGTTTCTAGTAGTTTTTCGTTTGGCCATCTTGGGTTTTCCAGTTCTAAAAATGATAATTTTTCCTCAGGTTTTCTAAATTTTTTAGATGTCTTATTTCTCCCTTAACTAATTACATTGGTCGATACTTCTAGAACAGTTTTGAATAATAGTAGTGATAATAGATGAACTTGTCATTTTCCTGATATTCATGAGAATGCATTTATGGATTTGATCATAAACACAATGGTGGCTTTTGGCTGGAGGGAGATTTTTTAAGAAAATTATGTTAAGGAAGTATCCCATGATTCCTTAACGTGTGTTTCCATTGGCACTAGAAAGTGAGCAATCAGAATAGGCGTAGTCCTAGCCCTAATAGAATTTATAATCTAGTTGAGGGGAGATAGATACTAATCTTATCATGAAAAGCTGTACAGTATTTTTGTTGCTGTGATGCAGTGGGATACGTTGGGCTAAGAGAGTGTATAGATAGGGAGATTTTCTTGGAAGTCGGGAGGTCTTATTGGACAGAATAACCATTGATTTGTGACCGTCCAGGAGGGAATGAATTAAGTAGGCACTGGAGAAGAATGTTCCAAATAGAGGACATTTGAAGGGAAGTGTGGTGTTGTATGGGGCTGAACAGTTGGGCTGGCCTCTCAAGCTCCTTTTAGTCATGCTGCTCATTTTGTTCTTTGTACTAAGAACAGTGGGAAGTCTTGAACAAAATTTTTAAGCAGGGAGGCAGCATAATCAGATCTGGACTTTCTAAAAAAGGGTAAAAGCTGGGAGACTAACTGGGAGTCTGTTGCAATAAGCCAGGCACATGAGGATGGTAGCTTGAGCTAGAGTCGTGGTTTCAGGAAAAGTGGTAACACGATTGTGTGTTCGGTTGTTTTCCTTAAAGTACTTTAGATTTAGGCATTACAGGGTCTGTGAAATTCACAGAGACTCCTAGCTTGGATGGAACCAGGTAGAGGTACAGTTTTTGGATAAGAAATATCCAAATTGGTCCCAGTAGTTTGCTTTATTGTTTTTATCCTTGTCCTCCATTTATTCTCCTCTTTTCTTTTTTTATTTCCTGACTAAAAATCCAGTCCCTTTTCATCATATTTCTATTCTTTATTCTTCAACATCCATTCATCCAGCAAACATTCATTGAGCAGCTCCTGTGTTTCCTGTATTCTGCTGGGTGTTGGGAAAGAGATGAATGGGCTCTCGAGGTCATCATCATGTATTAGATGAGGCAGATGCATATTCATAAAGCAATACATGATACTAAATGTAGCATACACACAGTTCAAAATGAAGTTATCCATTTAGGGCCATCTCATGATTGACCTTTTGGAATAGGTGAGGTCTAAATTACATTTTAAAAGATAAAAAGTGGGGTTCCTGGGTGGCTCCCAGATCCTGGGATCAGATCGCCCATGGATGGAGCATCATGGCTCCCTGCTCAGCGGGGAGCCTGTTTCTCCCTCTTCCTCTGCCCTTCCCCACCCTTGTGCTCTCTCTTGCACTCCCTTCCTCTCCCAAATAAATAAATACAATCTTTACACAAACAAAAAACAAATAAATGATAAATATAAATTTGCCAAGGGGAGAAGAGGAGGCCTATTTTCAGGCCACAGGAATACAGCACGTGCAAGGACACAGAAACATGAAGTAGCACAATGTTTTTGCTGAAGTGTGGCAGTTGGATATTTCTGGATTTTGATGTTTCTGGTTGTGAGGGGACGGAGAAGTAGCAAGAAATGAGATGAGCCAGATTGGCAAGACATAGGAAGTTTCTTCCAGAATCACTGTATTTAGAAAAGTGTTTATGTAGATTGGTGGGGAGGGGGTCGGGTAGAAAAGGATAGCATGAGAAATTAAGGGAGCAATCGATTTAGTTTTTGGAAGCCCACAACTCCATTTAAAAAATGTCCCTTTTTCTAGGCTAACTAGCAAGTTGTTAGACTAAGTTTCAAGAAGTCAGATTTAGTTGTACTTTTTAGAAAAATACTAGCTTTGTAAATGTCTTACGTTGTGTCCTGTGCAAACACTTGTAGATAATAAAACTAAATGATGAAAGCACCTGTGTTGTTTACTGGAGGCCGTCAGAACTTGCAGTGGGCTCAGTGATACGCAAGTGAGCTTTGAGGGCCCACGACCTCACCAAACTTAAAATTTCCTTCCAGGGAGAGACTTGAGATTTGTGGAGAAGTGCGTAAATGATAATTGTGATTTGTACTCAATTAATAGAATTTACATTGTGTCTCTGTTTAGAAAAGCTAAAAGCTAAGCTTAAAATTAAAAATTGAAGTCTTAGATGAGATCATCTGATACCAAAAATATGATGGTGTTATCACTGAAGTCCCTTAAAAAGAAAAACTAATGTGGTTCTCTTGCAGCATTAGCATCTTTCCTGAGATGTTTTCGCCTCCTGTTACCCATTTCTTTGTTCCTTGAGGGAGATATTCAAGGATTGAAACCACAGGCTGCCTCACTGAAAGGCTGGAAATACAATTTTACTTAGCCATTCCTGGTAGTATGTTTTCAATGTGATAAGAAAGTGCTTTTCTAATTCCAGGTGCTAATATTATGACCATACTTTGAAGAAAGTGATAGTTCTACCTGACAGAATTCAGTGAGATCCTTATCGAGGACTCCGAAGGAATTAGCAGATACCGTCAGAACACTATACAGCTGAGGTGTAGGTAGAGGCAGGGCTCTAGAGGGATCAGATTGGGGGGGGGCTAAGTAAAAGCGGGCGTTCCTTTAAAATCTGCCAGCCAGACGGTCTGTGAAGGACTGTGCTTATTTTTGGCTGACTTCATTCTGTGGGAAACCTTTATATTTGTGCTTTATGCTTTTGAAAAAATCAAGAAGAAACAGTTCAGATGATTTAGAAATTTGGAGACCAGTATTTTTTTGCTTTGAAAAGTAGACAGATTTGCATAGGAAGGAAATTTTGATAAACAGGGCAGCAAAGTATTTAATTACAGTATGAAAGCAAGTTGGGTATAGTAAAAAGAGCACTTATATTAGGAATCTGAAGACAAATTTGAGTTCCATTGTTCCCACAACCTGTTGTATCTTTGGGTAAATTATTTGATTTCTCCGAGCCTTGACTTTTCTAGGTGTAACTAAAAGTGGTTAGAATATTAGTACTGAGTCTATCTGTGTTGATTATTTTGAGGCTTAAATGAAATAATATGTAAGATGAAAACTCACTTATCTGTAAAAAGATGACCATTGAGTCTCCCGTGTGAGCACAGTCCTTACTGTAATGCCATTTTTAAGGCCTTTGCTTTTTGTGAAAAGCAAATAATGGAATTTCTATCTTTCCTTTTTTTTCCCCCTTCACCAAAACCCCAACTTCAGGGTTGACGTTACCAGAATGTTCTAACATAATCAGAGTGGAAAAATATACATTACTATTTACTTGGGAATGTTGAAACCCAGATCAGAACTCTGATTTGCAAAACAGAACTTTTAGAGCTTTGAGAAGAGACTCAGTGGTGTGATGCAAGGATCATGGGATTTTTGGATTCAGGAACTCCAGTTTAAGTCGCTTTCTAGTTGTATAGACTTAGGCAAGTTCGTTCATTTCCAGAAATGAACCAAACAATTCCTGCCATAGAGAAGACTGCTGTCATAACTGTCTTCAGTTTAATATATAGTCAGAAGTATATTTCCCAAGACTACATTTACAATCTGGTGTGATTATCTTACACCACGTGGTTGATTTCTAGTTTTCTCTTAAGTTTCTATAATAAAGTGGAGACAGTGGAGTTCAGAGTTAGTTTCCCTGCTGCAAACTGGCCATATGACCTTGAGCAAGGTATTTAACACCTCTGTTCCTCAGTTTCTTCCTCTGTAAAATGGACATTATAAACAATACTTCATAGGGTTGTCTTTAGAGAAAAGTATCTGATCCATAGTATGTGCTCAATAGTGTTTATTACTCCTGTTATTAAGATCACTGTTGGAATTATTAAGGTGAAAAAAATGAAGTTCTCAGTTGATAAGAATTTGAGAATCTAGCAGAGTAGTTTAAGTATGAGTCCTAGTTACTGATTTTCTACTTTGTAAAGATTTGGGAGAAAGGTTTTATTCACTGAAGGGGAGGAAAAAAATATTTTTTTCCCTTCTACTCTCCTGATTCTTTTGTCAGTAAATGAGACTGACAAAGGACAGATTAACAAGAGAAAAGCAGACAAGTTTATTTAATATGAGTTTTACATAATCGGCAGTCTTCATAAGGAGGAAAACACCCACCTCCCTCAATGGTTAAAGCTGTTTTTGGACCAAGTTTGACGAAGAGTGGAAAGTGGAAAAATATGATAGGACAAAGGGTATCAGGTGAGGGTAGTCAACTGGAGGAAGCTTTACGAGGCCTGTTCACTGGGATTCCTCTCATAGAGTTCCTCTCTCTGTCTTTGGAGATAAGGATGTTTCTTTCCTTTAGGTATAGGGAGGGTACCCCTCATTTCAGGGTCTTGTGACCTACTTCAGGGGACAGGGAAGGTCGGGGGGGGTCCTTCCTGCATCTGTAGTTTCTCAAATTCTGTCATATACAAGGCACCGTATTTTGGGAGAGTGTGTTCTGAACCCTGTCACCACCATAAAGAGTAAACAATTAAAATAAATCTTTGGTTTCTTCTAATTAAAGTATAAGCATTTTAGTGATTTCTAAATGTAATAGAAGTATACTTTACTTGCCCTTTTTTGTTAATTTGAATTTATAAGTAGAAATATAACATGCTGATAAAAACATTTCAATAAAACACATTTTCAGTATTACCGTATTTCCTAATAGCACCATTCCCACATTTAAAAAAAGTCTTACTGTGAGATAGCTATTTTTTCTTAAAAATATGAATGGTTCCTAATTTGTATACATAGTATATTTATACTTTTACATATTTGAGTGAAATAATTTGTTTTCTCTTTTAATTTTAACTTGTGTAAATTTTTTTTAAATCTTTGTCTCTCAAAAGTTAAAAGGTACTTGGTTTTAAAAATCATTAAAAATGAAGCATTTGAGAAGCAGGGTTTTTTTTAAAGATTTTATTTATTTGAGAGAGAGCGAGAATGAGCGTGCGAGTGAGAGAGCGAGAGCATGAACAGGGGGAGAGGGATAGGGAGAAGCAGACCCCCCCCCCCAGCAGGGAGCCTGACGTGGGCTGATTCCAGGACCCTGAGATCATAACTTGAGTGGAAGACAGACACTTAACCGACTGCGCCACCCAGGTTCCCTGAGAAGCAATTTTTAAAAACAATGATTTTAGGGGTTTAAGGGCAAGCACATAGATACTACACTTTTCCTATTTGATCAAGATCAGGGTAAAAAAAGTAAAAATAAGTAGAGAATATAACAAATAATGCTTTTAGAGTGTTGATTCCTTAGATATAATTGAAGAACTGTTAGTGATTTCTAGAAGCAAAATTAAGGAAATATAAATTAGTAAATTATCAGATAACAAGATGATTTTGTGATGTATTTGAGTGTACTATATATTTTGTTATATGTATTTAAAATACTATGGGGGTGCCTGTGTGGCCCAGTCGGTTAAGTGGCTGGCTCTTGATTTCAGCTCAGGTCATGATCTAGGGGTCCTGGGATCCAGCCCCATGTCAGGATCCAGCCCCGTGTCAGGATCCAGCCCTCAGTAGAGAGTCTGCTTAAGGATTTTCTCTCTCTCTCCTTCTCCCTCTGTCCCATCTCCCATTTGTGCTCTCTCTTTCTAAAAATAAATAAATCTTAAAAAAATGCTTTGTATGCATGCTGATACAAAAATACTGTATATATTATACAGTTATATATGTATATATATTTAACACAATTTCCCGCCTTGTATTTACCTTGGACCTCCTTTCCTTACTTATTTCCAGGTTTATTTAGAAAATTTAGCAAACCAGGAAAACCAGTAACCCTCCCTCCCTTTTATTATAGGCTTTAAACCTGAAATATGTTTCACATTTGGCTTTTGCTTGGCCAGCTGTCTTCATTCTTTCATTTTTGCAGTCAACAGTGAATTGTTATTTTAAGAGTAAAGATTCTAAACATTCCTGTGCTAAAAACATTCCTTAGGGAATGGGGTCCAAATATCATTCTTTACTCTGTAATACCTGTTTTCACTAAATTTGCGTTGGTATTTGTATCATTGCATGATTCATAAGCAAACATTTACTTAGAGTCTTTTCCTCCTAAGCTGCATTTAGAAATGGTTAATTGCCATTGAGTCCTCATATCCGATATAATCTCCAAATTATTTGTTGTTAAAATGAGTTATTAAAAGAGAAGGAAACCTAATTGAAGGGGGAGGCCGAGAGGGTAGAAGGAGAGGAGGGAGGAAAAGGTAGGGAGGGAGTGCATGTTGCTGGCAGGGGGGGTGTGTGGCTGGAGGGGGGCACCAGAAGTGGGGGATGTAGACAAGGCTGGGAGCCATCAGCATGAACTTCACCTGAAATTTCTTGTCACTTCTTCCCTTTTTATTTAAAAGTGGGTATTAGTAAAAGTACTACTACAGCATTTTTCTCCTAATAATTCAGTTTTTTCTGGTCCAGTTTAACTTGTTATACCAGATTTTCCTTTCAGTCATTAAGATTTAAATTTCCTATTTCTGGTAGTAAAATCATCTCTTGTCAAGTGTAGGGAGGCTGCAGCTTTAACACCACTTCATGTCTGATTAGAAGGTTTTCTTTTGTAATTAATTTTCCTCTGCGCTCTTTGTGGAGAACAGTAGCCCACTGCAGAGAGGTTAGAATACCGTGGACTTTGGCTGTTCAGCTTAATGATACAAGGGAATAGCAAAGCAAGAATAAATGAGGTACTTTTTGGTGAGCAAAAAATGTGAACTGACTGTCAGTGTGAGATTGGTTCTAGGAGCAGTTAGCCAGCAGTAATAGGGCACACTTGAGTAATTGAATTTGCATAACAAGGCTTGCTGAAGAGATCTGACAGGCATAGAGATTTGTCTAGCTAGAGAGCTCCAGATGGACGTGACCACGCAGCAGCTGGGTGGCACGTTGCTCAGCATGGACAGCACCGCCCAGACTGGCAGCTGGACCCTGGCGACTGCAGGGCTGTGGCAGGCCAGCTGGTGGCTTCTGACAGCCAGTGGCCCTGTTAGAGAGCCTTTTCATAATGGCCTGTCAGGGTACTGGACCTGCAGGGACCGGCAGGAGAATGTCACAAGTCACCAGCCAAGGTTGTTAAGCTAAAGAAATCTGTCCCAGGGAAGTAGAGGTGGTCACTGTTAACATCCACAAAGCTAACACATCCGAGAGTGATCCCCCTCCTTTTCAAAGATGGTAGGCCTGATTTTACAC